TGTATAAGGACACTGTGTCTAAAATGTACGTAATAAATACACTACACATAGAGTTAGAGCTCACAGCACAAGCATACTGCCAACCTATCATGACTGTGTTGTACATACACATGTATAGTGGTTCTTTTAATTAGTGAAAACATCAAGAAGTCAGCAGCAAAAGGAGAACACACCACGGCCCACGCTTAAACAAGGAAGGTTTATTCCTCCAAAGATTTATTATTGAAATAGATGCAACATCCCCCCAAAAACAATCCCACACTGCAGCTACAGGAAGTTCCCCCTGAGCCTCTTTAGATTAAACCAAAATCCCCAGGAGGGGGCGGAGCCTCATACACAAACAGGAAGTAGAAACAATAGCCAGCCCTCCCCCTGACACACAGCCAGGGGTGCGGTCAGCTCAGTGCTGTAACTCCAGCTCTAACACTGACGGAGCTGAGACCTCCACCCATATCGCACACAGACACCACGCTGGAGTTCACGGAGCTCCTGAGACTCATCCCTCCACACGTGTGAGCAGCTGCTGGTTGTGTACACCTGTGAGCACGGAGGTGTGTTTGTCTGGACTTCACTGATGTAGACCCTCCTCTTAAACACTTAGTCTTTGTGTGCTTGTAAATAAACTCTCGTCTAGTGTTTTAGTCACATCCACCCGAGTAGCTACGACAGAGCGATCCAGCCAAGAAATGGACTCTCTGCACTCGACTGAATGTGTCTCATCCTCAGTCTTCCCAAGGAAACTGAGCTTGGAAGACATGTCCCCCACCAGAGCAGGGTGCCATCACCAACAGCTCGGGGAATTTAAATGGATGAAAATCAACCAAACTTGCTTTATTGGTGGAAGTGCTGTAAGGATGAGCATTAATCTGTTAATATTTATCACAATAAAAGCTTTTTAGGCTCAGCTATGAATGGTTAGGCAGGATTTTTATCTTTATATTGTTTTAGTGTACACTGAGGACTGTGGCAACATTGCAGTTTCATGTTCAAGTTTGATTTTTCCGATGTCGCAGATGCGTGTAAATATAGCTGACCAATCAACACGGTGGAGCATGTGATGGTTGTTCTCACAGAACGGCTCTCTGACATCAACTCCATTTTAGTTTTTTCCAACAGTTCAGAGAGGATGCATTTTTCACCAAAACACAGCAAATTCAGTGCATATATAGATTATACAGCAAATCTGGAATAAATCTCACTTCTCACATTTGAGATTTTGACATTTTAAACAGCTTAATGCAAAATGTGCCCAGTTAACTCCTCATCCAGAGAGTCTGGATGCTAATGTAAAACTTCCACGAGCCCTTAAATCCCTGCTATGAGCTCGTTGCATTGAGCGAGGCTGTGACTGAGAGGGAGGTTTTCCTGGCCTGTGCTGGTGGCAACAGAGCGCACAAGCAGCACAGGATTCAGCCCAAACCATTTATTGTTTGGTCCTTCTGTGTGTGGTCAACAGGATGTCTTGGAGGACGACCGGGGGGGTCGTCACCACCAACCTTATTGATTATGTCTGAGTTTAAAAGAAGGTTGTATGAAAAAGGCAAAAGTAAATCTGGAAAGACCCCAAGGGAAGATGAAACAACGGTCTGACAGTAAATCTAAACATCAAGGTGACCCCCTCCTCAGATGCTCTAGTTAGGCTTGTCCTTGTGTGCTGGTGGAAAATGAAACATGCTGGTCGGTATTCTCTTTGTCTGCATGGTTACTTCCTGTTCCATTTGCCTGAACTGAATTTGTCCATTTAGCACCTTCGGCTTGGAACAAACTGCAGAGCGACTGGTAAATGGTCTGCATTTGTAGCGCTTTTCTAGTCCCTAAGGACCCCAAAGCGCTTCACACTACATCCAGTCATCCACACATTCACACACTGGTGATGGCAGCTACATTGTAGCCACAGCCACCCTGGGGCGCACTGACAGAGGCTGCCGGACACTGGCACCACCGGGCCCTCTGACCACCACCAGTAGGTAAACATGGGGTTAGTATCTTGCCCAAGGATATTTGGCATACAGCCAGGAGGCAGCCTGGGATCGAACCACCGACCTTCTGATTGGTGGCTGACCCGCTCTGCCACCTGAGCTACAGCCTACAGCTTAATAACACTAATAATACATTTGAAAAAACTGACCAGACATTTCAGCCATGCACAGATTTTAGGAAAACAACTTCATAAATCCTGGTTGATTCTTTTTGCCTTATACAGACGACTGTGTGGACAAAGTGGGCTCGAGTTGCTCTGTTGGTCACACACTCTGCTGTACTCATATTTCTTTGCCTTTGGCCTAAGAAATGAATGGTATAGTGGCAGGACTACAGGGCTGTGCTGCTTACCTTGATGTTGTAATTTACAGCAACACTTGAAGACCATGCAGAGTGAATCAGAGCTGTGTCCAGCTCTGACGTGGGATGCTTCACTGTGAGAAATGCATGAAATGCAAATGCCAGTCAGTCCATGATCAGGGTGAGGTTGGGAATATCAGCCCTGTGTGCTCTTGATCATTTCCATCTCTACAACAGACCTGATGCAGTTCTTGGGCCTGCTGGGTTTCTATCTGCACCTCTCACACATCTGCTCAGCTCTGCGATTAACCCTGAGGAAGCGACTTCTTCTGCTCCTCATGTGGTGAGGCCTTCCAGCTGCAGGTGCATGCTGGGGCTGTTTCTTTGTAGACTGGTGATGATGGAGTTCTTCATTCAATCATTCTGATGTTTTGTTTCCTTGCGACAGTAACTCTCATCATTTATACTGCTCATTGGTTAAGGAAGACGTGCCGGCTTTAATATGGGCTGTGCAGCATTTTGAGGTGTACAGTCATCAAAGGCTGGAGTGTGACAAACACACACAGAGTGATCCGTGGCCTGGAGATCAATGGCAGTCTGTTTTCTTTTCTATATGAAGCCGGGTCACATTCTGACCAGGTCCCTCGATGAGGTGTTTTCATCGGGGCTCCTCCACAGCCTCACACCGAAGCTGGACAGTCGCTTATAGATTGTGTTTGCCAGCCGACGATGTTGTACTAGGAGAGTCTACTGGGCGATTTCTTTCATGTTTAGTCAGCATTGCATCAGTAAAGCTTCTTGATGATCATATCTGGTGTTGTTACTGACGTGGCAATCTGCTCTGGAACCTTTCAGGCTGCACTATACTCTGGGTAGATGAGCGTGCTGGGCCAGCGATCACTGCAGGACCTGCTCATCCATGGGAACCATGGAGCTCCTGCTGGCATGTTTCTGGTGATCTGTTGATGCCAAAGGAGTTTGAAACTGAAGTCACCGAGTCAGCAGAGTGTTGGCAGCTGTTACGCGCTGTAATATATGTGCTCTGCCACTTTGTGTGGTTACTAAGCTCCACCACTTAAATGGCAATACTAACAGCACTTACAGTGGATGGTAGAATAATGAAATGTTGCAGTCCTGACTTGTGACCATTCGCTCTGCTATGTTTCTACAGGTAGACTGCATGGCTGCAGTGTTGCAGTGGGACTGAAAACACCTGAGTGTGAAGATGTTGTCCCTGTAGTGTGCTGAAGCTTGTTTATAATGACATATGCTGTTTGGATATCTGCACTTGTCCTTACCGTTGGAAATAAACCTGTGCATTAGGGCCCTGCAGTCAGTGACAGTATGTCAGTGTTCACTATGTATCACTATACTTGAATCCATTTCATTTTCATTCATAGCCTCATATAGAGAATGGCATTTACACAGACACACTAATGCAGGGCTTTCTGTTTCTATCAGTGCAGCTCCATCATTAGTCTTTACAGACGTTACAGACACACAGAACCAAAGTCCAGGTATGTGTGGTCCACATGAGTCCAGCCTGCAGGAGAAACTGTCCCTGTAGCCAACCTAGCATGTTTGTGTAGCAGCTCACTTTGTGTCAGATGTGATCTGTGTAAAAGCTTTCAGTTGTTTTGTCCTGTGATCACCGCGTTCAGTCAAGTCTCCCGTCAGCCATCGCTGACAGTTCAGCAACCCGACCACGTTCAAAACGGGCTTCTTAATCACATGTCATGTAAACTGAACAGTTCCAGTGTTTCCTGATTTAGAGTCTAGTTAGCCTTAGTCCTCTGCAGGCTGAGATTCATCCTGTCACATGTTTTTGGGTTCTCTGCAGGAATGCATGGTTCCATCTCCCAGACTCCTGCAGTCCCAAATCATCACACCCTGCTTCTCCGTCAGGACTCTGCATGTGACATGTCTAACCCTGACACTCTCGGACAGGTTCAACTCAAATATACTGGAACTTTTCTAAGACAATCAAATTTGGACTCCAGTTTGCTCCAGTTATTCATCAGACGTCTTTAGGAACGTTTCAGTCTGCATTTCTGTCCTAAAGAGCAAACAAGGTTTTTATTTCCTGGACACTGTCCTTCACTCTGAGGGACGTTCATTTTCACTGACAGCCCCTGGACGGTGTGGATTCATGTTAGAATATCACCACGACTCTGATTTCTGATGCAGATGCTTTTATTTGCTCAGATTTTCCACCATCTCACAGTCTGACGTCTTAATTTTTCTCTTAATTATTTTTCATGTGACTAATTAATGCAGACACAGCCCTAAAGGCTAACGCAGGAGTTGCCAGTGTAGTTTCATTTTGTGGCTTTCAGTTTCTACTTTCCTCTTCAGCATGTGAGAAAAGCTCGTGTTAAGCATTTGTTCTTAAATGTTCATGAAAAAAAATATTCAAGCTGTAGTTGTCATGCCGATCAGCTTCCCAGTGAACCTGTTTAACCTGTGAGGGGCTTCATGGTCTGTTTTCTAAAGAGTTCATTTGTTCTACTCAAACGAGGAAGTGCTTGGAGACGATGTGGTCAGTGTGTCAGTAGAAACTAAAAAGAAGAAGAGCCTGTTTCTGACCGCTCAGTCTTGGTGAAGACTTCATACAGAAGGTACAGTTGCATTTTTTCAGTATCACTGTTGCTTTTTTGTATATTGAATGATACATTGACTTTACACTGTGCTAATATTAGCTCTGCTTGTATGTTGCAGCCATGGCTGCGGCGTCGGCTCTGGTGTCTGAGGACAGTCTTCTTTGTCCCGTCTGTCTGAGTGTGTTCACTAAACCTGTGTCGATTCCCTGTGGACACAACTTCTGTATGAACTGTATCACAGACTACTGGAGCACCCTGTCTGTACTCCAATGTCCACTGTGCAAAGAGACGTTTTACACCAGGCCGTTGCTTCGGGTTAACCCTGTCATTGCTGAAATGGCAGAAAAGGTTAAAAAATCTCTTCAAGAAATGTTGAGTTCAGCTGAACGAGCAGGACATGAAGACGTGCTCTGCAGCATCTGTGCAGGGTCCAAGGTCAGAGCCCTGAAGTCCTGTTTAATGTGTTTACTGTCCTACTGTCAAACACATCTGGAGCCTCATCAGAGGATTTCAGCTTTGAAGAAACACAAGCTGATCGATCCAGTTCAGAACCTGGAGAGCAGAATATGTCGGGATCACGGTGAGCCTTTGGAGCTGATCTGCAGACTGGATCAAAGGTTTCTGTGTCAGTCCTGTAAATGCAGTGACCATAAAACACATGAAACAGTGAGTCTGGAGGACGAGGCTGAGATGAGGAAATCCCAGCTGAGATTAGACAATAACAGCATGGATCAGATGATCCAGGAGCGTGAGCAGAAAATCCAGGAGCTTCAACAGTCAGTGAAGACCAGCAGAAGTAAAGCTGAGGAGGCGTTATCGTACAGCAGGAAGGTGATGACCGCTTTGGTGCAGCACATAAAGACAGAGTTCACCAGACTGTCTGAGACGATCGAGACGAAGCAGGAAATAAATGAGACGGAGGCAGAAAGCTTTATTGATGAGCTGCAGGCAGAGATTACACACATGAAGAAGAAGAAGCTGCAGTTTCATGAAGCTTCGCTCATCAGAGACCCCTTCAGCTTCCTGGAGAACGTCCTCCCTCTTACCTACAATAAGCCCCAGCTGCAGGACTGGTCTGCTGTGACTGTAACCAGTGACCAGTTCATGATTCAGGAGACCCTGGCCGAGCTGGAGACAAAAGTCAGAGAAGAAGTCAGCACGCTCTATGATGTAAACTTCAGAGATGGGAAAGAACAAAGGTATGATCTGAATGTTTTCATGGCTTGGTCCAGATTTGGGTTCTCCTTGAAACACAGTGAGGTCACTCAATCAAAATCAGTCAGTGTCTCCATCTCGACACCCCTTTTTGTACATGAACTTTTGTTTGTTCAGTAAAAATCAAGAATAGTTTAGTCTAGGTGGATTTCTAGGTGCAGCCAAGTGGCAGAGGGCTTTCGGTCCATCGTGGTGAAGAGCTGAGCGTAAAAGCGAAGCTCTCAATTTACTTCGATCTACGTCCCTACCCTCACCTATGGCCACGAGCTGTGGGTAGTGACGAAAGAACGAGATCGGGATACAAGCGGCGAGAAATGAGCTTCCTCCGAAGGGTGGCTGGCCTCTCCCTTAGAGATAGGGTGAGAAGTTCAGGCCATCCGGGAGGGGCTCAGAGTAGAGCCGCTGCTCGCTCCACATCGAAAGGAGCCAGCTGAGGTGGTTCGGGCATCTGACAAGGATGCCCCTGGGCGCCTCCTGGGTGAGGTGTTCCAGGGCATGTCCCACCGGGAGGAGGCCCCGGGGCAGACCCAGGACACGCTGGAGAGATTATATCTCTCGGCTGGCCTGGGAACGCCTTGGTGTTCCTCCGGACAAGCTAGAGGAGGTGGCTGGGGAGAGGGAGGTCTGGGCTTCTCTGCTTAGGCTGCTTCATACAACTTTCCTCTTTCACCCATTTATACAAGCACTTTGTTGTTTTTGTTACCTAAGTGCTCACTCTGATTGTAACATCAGACAGCAACCTGGGGTTCAGCATCTTGCCCGAGGACACTTTTGGACGTCCAAATACTTCTCAGAATTATAATCCAACACATCAATTACGATGATGATGATAATCATCATGGTGAGGAGGAGGAATAGAGTCAAATCCAAGTGCAACAAGGACAGTTTCCCCTTGGTGCTGCTGCTGAAATTTCCAAGGGTGAACTTCTGCAATCCTTTGAACCTCTCTCTTTTACAGTCACTGTTCTGTGAGTGTCAGTTTGACATACCTCAGAGGTGCTCTGATTCCTCCATCCTCTCTCCATCTCATCTCCTCCAGTTTCTGGACCTTCTCTGTGTTTCCTTTCTCCTCCATCTTCCCAATCAGGAAGTCCAAGTGGACATAGTGGAACTGAATCAGCTTTCAGAGCGATCTGCTCCAGTCTGACAACATGTTGGTAGGACTCATCCAGGAACTGGGACTTCTCTGCTGTCAGCAGTTTCATTTCCTTTCCAAGTAAATGAACATCCTTCTCTTTTGTTGGTGGTTCTTCTCTCTGACCTCTCCTTATCCTGGTCACATATCTCCACTTTCCTTTCACATGCACTGATGCAGGACACTTGTTGGTGCATGACGTGCAGAGACCATCTCTAAAGACCTCACAGTGATTTAAGGGCACCGTGCATCCAGGATAGTGACAGTTCTCCTCACAGACTGTACAGCTGACAGCTGCTTTCAAACCCGGCCCCACATCTCTGCTCTGATAGGTTCTTTATGTTTAAAAACTTCAGCAACAAATGGAGGGACCTCTTCATCTCATGTTGTCATGTTTCTCCAGAGCTTCCTGACTCTGTTTTATCTCTCTTTGTTTCACTTCAGTGAATCTTGATTCTTTCTTGCAGGTTTTGGATGCAGGCTGTCAGTCTGATACTTTCTTTTAACACTTCAGGAGATGCTTCTGGCTTCACAGGTGTAGTTTCTTTCAGGAAGGCTGTGAACTCTACTTTCAAAATTTAGTTTCAGGATAATTCTTCTTGCTATCTTCAAGCTGGCAGTTATTAAACAGGAAGTAACAGACTGATTCTTCTCATTTTTGAGCACATTTAATTTTTGAATCTTCAAGAGCTTGAAGAGATATTTAGGGTTTCTTACATCTGAGTGTGTGATGAGAGCTACAAAGTCTTTCTCCACATTGAAAGATAAAATGATATTCAAACATGGATTATAATTACCCAAAGTTTGATTCTGTTCATCTGGACGTGGTGTTTTCAGTGGGAGAAACGTTTCGTCATCATCCAGTGACTTCAGTCTCAGCTGACTGCAGGTTCCAATCTTATAAACAGTACATTTGCATAATGACTGAAACCAGCCCACTGGAAGGAACAGTGGGCTGGGAGGTCAGCTTATATCATTAATATGCATTTCTCATGACCACTGATCAAAGGCCATTGATCAATGGCCTGATTGGTTGACGAGATATACAGTGGCTTGCAAAAGTATTCGGCCCCCTTGAACTTTTCCACATTTGGTCACATTACAGCCACAAACATGGATAAATTTTATTGGAATTCCACGTGAGAGACCAACACAAAGTGGTGCACACGTGAGAAGTGGAACGAACGCAGCCGGACGGCCAACTCCTCCTCAGCCCTACCCCGCTCCAGCAGGCCGCAGAGAACGGGGGTGAGAGAAGACTCCAAACCTCCCTCCACCCGCTCATTGTAGATGTTGATGCATGTGTGTTCTAAGGTGCATTAAAACCCAGGAGGGCATGGAGCTACCTGCCAAGAGAGCAGCAGGTAAGCGCATAGCCCCTCCTGCTAGCCCTCAATGACTAAGTGTATTTAAAATTGAGAGGTGGGCAACGACGCCAGGGGTGAGGGTGTACACCCTGATGGTAATTTGGACTCCGTGTATCGTGCCCACCCCCAAGATCCTATATGTATGTGTAATGAGAGTGTGAGTAATGTGAATGTCTAAGTTGTGGGATAAAATTGAGGCAGAGGCAGCCAGAAGGGGACAGAGGGGGGGGGTAGCCTCCTCTGCACCCTGGTGACATACCCCTACTCCAAGGCCCTGCATGTGTGGGTGGTTGTGGTGGAGCGGGAAGAGGGAGGCAGCTGGAGATGGGGAGGGAAGGAAGGGAGGGGCAGTGACCCCTCCCTGGGGCCAGCTCCCCCGCTGACCCCAGTAGGCACTCCCACACTCCGCGACCCGCCAGGGAAAGGGGGCCCAGGCCCATCCAGACCGGGGCCCAGCGCAGCAGCGCCCCCGGCCCCACAGAGCCCGGGACAGTCCACCCAACCCCACCACAGAGAAAACTGCACCCACCCCACCATCCACTCATCTTCCAGACTACATGAGACAATAGACGCCCAGGCTGAGATCTTCCTCCACCTCTCCTGTATCTCCCCCTCCTGCAGAGAGTCCTGAAGGAGGAAACAGCCATCCTCTGGTGGGAGGACTCACACATAAAGCAAACACTGAAAACATTAGATCATAACACTTCCCCCCACCCAAAAATCAAATATTCTAACCCCAAATGAAATGTTTGATTCATGACCTAGAGAGGGCATCAGCCATGACATTCTCTAAGCCCTTTTTGTACCGGATTTCAATGTTGAAGTCCTGGAGGAGTAGGGACCAGCGCATAAGGCGCTGGTTGCTGTTCTGCATCCGAGTTAGGAACTGGAGAGGGTTGTGGTCAGAGACTGGACCCAAGGTACACTTCAAAGTGCTGCAAGGCTAGCAATAAGGCTAAGGCTTCCTTTTCAATCGTGCTGTAATGCAATTGGTGTTTTAGGAATTTTTTGGAAAAGAAACAGACTGGATGGTCAATGCCATTTTCATCCTCCTGCACAGCCCCCAAAGCACTGGCGTCCACCTCAAGCTTGAACGGACGTGCGAAATCAGGGGCGGCCAACACAGGAGCACTGCAAAGGAGAGCTTTGGCAGCTTCGAAAGCAAACTGACATGTCTCTGACCACACAAATGGTGATTTTGGACTGGCAAGACTGGTTAATGGGGCTACTACCTCGGAGAAGTTTTTGCAGAACCCACGGTAATAACCTGCCATGCCTAGAAAACGCCGCAGCTCCCGACGTCTGCGGAGCTGGGAAGTTTAATATTGCCTGCACTTTCACAGCAACAGGGAGGACTTGACCCTGTCCTACTTGTTTCCCTAGGTCGGTTACAACAGCCTTTCCAAACTCACACTTAGCCAAGTTCAGTGTCAGAGAGGCATCACGCAAACGGTCAAATATTTCACTGAGAGTTTGAGTGTTCAGTCCAGGTGTATGAATAGGCCACTATATCATCCAGATACACTTCGCAGTTTATGACTCCATGTAACTCAGTGTTCATCAGTCGTTGGAATGTGGCGGGAGCATTTCTTAACCCGAACGGCATGACGGTGTATTGCAAAAAGTGGTTGGGTGTAACAAAGGCACTGATTTCTGATGCGCGTTTGGTTAATGGGACTTGCCAGTATCCTTTTAGGAGGTCGAGTTTGGTCACAAAGTTTGCCAAGCCCACACGATCGACCAGGTCATCCATGCGTGGGAGTGGAAAAGAGTCTGGTTTTGTAGCAGCGTTTACCTTTCGGTAATCGTTACAGAAACGGGAGGTTTGATCGGGTTTTGGAACGAGCAATGATGGTGAGCTCCAAGAACTATTACTGGGAAGGGCAAAACCATGGTCAAGAAGATACTGGACTTCTTGCTGCATTATGGCATGCTTAGTGGGATTTACTCTGTAGGCATGTTGCTTTATTGGCTTGTGATCACCCACGTCAATATCATGACTTAGCACGTGCGTTTGAGTGGGGATATCACCAAAAAGAGTTGGGTAATTGTTAATGAGCTCTCGGACATCAGATTTGGCAGGATCAGACAGATGTGATAAATAGACATCCAAGTCAGCCAGACGTGCACCGGAAACAGAGCTGTGCCTATCATCCAACCCATCATCGCAGGGACTATATAAGGGTTGAGAGACGGACACTGACACAATAGGTGACACAGCAGGCGACGGACCGGAGGGAGGAAGAGTAGCAGCAGCTATGGCTCACCCAGATGATGTCATGCCAATCCAATCAAAGGTTGAGGGAAAATAAAGGTCTAATAAAAAGAATCAGAGAGCCACTAATGCTTTGGGAGAGCAGACAGACAAAAATAAGAATCCAATTGGAAAAAAGAAAAAACAAATGGTTAAATGGCCTGTATTTATATAGCGCTTTACTAGTCCCTAAGACCCCAAAGCGCTTTACATATCCAGTCATCCACCCATTCACACACACATTCACACACTGGTGATGGCAGCTACATTGTAGCCACAGCCACCCTGGGGCGCACTGCAGAGGCAGGCTCCGACACTGGCGCCACCGGGCCCTCTGACCACCACCAGTAGGCAACGGGTGAAGTGTCTTGCCCAAGGACACAACGACCGAGACTGTCCAAGCCGGGGCTCGAACCGGCAACCTTCCGATTACAAGGCGAACGCCCAACTCTTGAGCCACGATCGCCTCACATACAATTAAACAAAAAGGTTTAATTGTATGTGACCTTTGACCCTGAGCAGAAAAGGATCAGCTCAGGTTTCAGTGTTAAACAAACTAACAACAGTGACATGTGTCGAAGTTCTCTGCTTTTCTCTGCAGGATCAGTTTGATCTCATCACCACATGAAGACATCATCTCAAAGTTTTCTCATCAGGTCAGGACCTCCTGCTGTCTACCAGCTGAGACCAAAGAAACAGAAGTTTGGAACAAGAATCACTGTTGGAAAAAAATCCAAACAAGACAAACAGAACCATCTTACTGGTGGGAGAAACAGGAGCAGGAAAATCCACACTGATCAACGCTCTGCTCAACTACACCATGGGAGTGAAGTGGGAGGATAGAGTCTGGTTTATGATCGCAGAGGAGGAGAGAAGAAGTCAGACATCAGATGTGATCGTGTACGAGATCTTTGGTTTTGAAGATGTAACTCTGCCCTACTCTCTGACCATCATCGATACTCCTGGATATGGAGACACCAGAGGGATCGAACATGATGACATCATCAGTCACAGATTATTGGACTTGTTTCGATCAGAGGATGGAGTCCATGAAGTTCATGCAGTGGGTCTGGTGATGAAGGCGAGTGTGAATCGACTGAGTGACCGACTGAAGTACGTCTTTGATTCAGTGATGTCTCTGTTTGGAAAGAACTTGGAGAAAAACATCATAGCTCTGATCACACACTCAGATGGAAGCAGGCCTAAAAACCCTCTTCAAGTTCTTGAAGCTGCAAACATTAAATGTGCCAAAAATGAGGACAGTCAGCCTGTTTACTTCCTGTTTAATAACTGCCAGCATGAAGAGCGAATGGAGGAAAACACAAATTTTAGAAATTCATGGGAACTTACACAGACAAACATGGATCATTTGACAGACTTGTTGGGAAAATCGAATCCTCAAAAACTGGTGAAAACAGCCGAAGTGTTAAATGAACGAATAAGACTGAAAGCCTGCATCCAAAACCTGGAAGACAGAATCGAGCTGGCTGAACTGAAACAGACAGAAATCAGACAGATCCGAGAAGCTCTGAAGCAGACGAATCACAGAAATAAAATGGAAATTGAGAAATTATTGAGTCTTTTGGAAAATCTTGAAAAGGAAATGAAAGTGTTGACAGCAGAAAAGGAAAAGTGGCTAAGTGACTCCTACCAGCATGCTGTCAGACTGGAGGAAATCGCTCTGAAAGCTGATTCAGCATCCACTGTTGTCCACTTGGACTTCCTGATTGAGAAGATGAAGGAGGAAGGAGACACGGACAAGGTCCAGAAACTGGAGGAGATGAGGAGAGAGGATGGAGGAACCAAGAAGCAGTGCAAGCTTAAACGAACACCATCACCAACATTGGGAGACCCTTCCCCTGGCATACGTGAAACATGTAAAGAACCATCAGGCAGATGGTACTGATGCTGCTCCATGTTCAGATGTACACAGATGTTGATTGTTGATGTGGACATGAGGGCCTCCTTCTAAGACGGGAACATCATGTATGCTTTCATATTTTATCCAGTTACAAATATCAATTCTCATGTTAAAAAATACTTATTATTGATATACATGTATTTCACACAGATATTTGTACTTATGCACATGACAAGTATTACTACATAAACTCCACAGTCAGTTATTATGCAGAGCAGTGCTGCCAGCTGTGCTGTAAATGCAGTGAGGGCGCCCCCTGCTGTTTAACGATCAGTACAACAGTGTGTGAGAACAGCTCCCTGCTGCTCTGACGTCACAAACTAAACTCTGTGTTCTCCACAATTACATGTGTTTCTGTCACGTTGTTCTAATGTTGTTCTACTGTTGTCAGTGTGAGCTTTATCCTGCTGCTCCTCTCATGCTGACTCAGTAAACTGGTTGTGGGACAGTAACGGTCACTGACACGATCCAGAGACAGTCCAACATGTTGTTGTCTTTCAGTGAGTGCAGAGGATGTTGGAGACACTGAACTCAGACAAAGTGTGGAAATAATCCAACTTTGACTCTTCAGTGTTTCTGAGTCCAGTCCTGAAATCTGATC